AATACACATTTTGGAGGATTGGTCCATAAACTAAGGGAATGATATATTTGTGTGTACGTATATTAAAAGACAGGAAAAGTTGTGGTGATTAATTAGAAGATATTGGAAAATGTGCAACCTGAGCATTATGTAAATGGTATGGAATACAGGGTGGCTACTGTCCTGGTTTCGTCTGGGATAGAGCTAGTTGTTCTTCTTAGTACCTAGAATAGTGCTGTTTCAGATTCAGTATGGGATTTGGTATGAGAAGAATGTTGATAATGTCCTGATGTTTTTAGTTATTGCTAAGAAATCAAGGTCTTTTCAACTTTCCATGTCCTGCTAGTGTGCAGGTGCACAAGAAGCTGGGATGGAGCACAGCCAGAGCAACGGATCCAAATTGGCCAATGCAATATACCGTATCATATGACATCACACTCAGTGTATAGATGAGGGTTGTCCAGGAAACTAGGGGGGTCTCTTCCAGGATTGCAGTTTGGGAATCTTCTTTCCTCCAGGATCACTATCCAGGAATGGGATGGGCATCAGCAGGCGAGCGGTGAGCAACTGCATTTTCCATTATTCGTTCATATATTCTATTATTGTTATCATTACTATTTTATTTCAATTATTAAATTGTTTTTATCTCAACCTACGAGTCTCCTTACCTTTAACCCTAGAATTCTCTCCCCCGTCCCCTGTGGAGTGGGGGAGTGTCCTGGGTTGAGTGAATAGTAGAGTTTTTTGGTGGCAGGGGAGGGGGCTATAGGGGCGGCCCCCTGTGAGAAGCTTCTCGAAGCTCCCCCAGCTCCAAGCCAGCTCCACTTCTGTTTGGAAAATTGAGCCCATCAGCTGCGCCTCTGCGATAACGTATTTAAGAAGGGACGTGGTGATGAGGAGTGGGACTTGTGAGGAGGAGTTGGGGCAGCTGCATGAACACCAAGGTCAGTGGAGGAACGGAAGAAGAAAGGAGGGGGGAGGTGTGCCGGAGTAGAGACCCCCCTGTATCCTGTGGGGAGACGGCAGGGCGGCCCCCCCTGCCACCCATGGAGATCTACGGTGGAGCAGACATTGATTTATGGCCTGTGGCTCCTGCTTGTATGATCAAGGTGTCTTTGCCCAAAGAAGGCTGGGGTCTCGTGGGAAAAGGCAGCCCCGCTGCTGTAATTCAGTGCTGGGAGGATTGCAGCATGTGGGGGAGTCCCACACCGGAGCAGCTTGGGAAGGGCTGCAGCCGTGGGAGGGAATCCAGTCGGAGAAAGTTAGTGACCCACGATGGAGCAGTGTGGGGAACGCTGTGGCCCATGGGAGGAACTCATGTTGGAGAAAGTTTGTGGAGGACTGTCTCCTGTGAGAGGGGGACCACGATGGAGAAGGGGGAAGAAGTTCCAGAAGCTGCCCCCACCAAAGGTGGAAGAAGCAGCAGCACTGCCTGCACCCCCCATTCCCTGCCCCTGCGCCGCTGGGGGAGGAGGTAGAGATATCGGGAGCAGAGCTGAGCCCGGGAAGAAGGGAGGGGTGGGGGGAAGGTGTTCTCAAGATGTGGCAATGCTTCTCACTGTCCTACTCTGTTATGTGTTGTTAGTGTCTGTAATAAATATATGGGTTTTTTCTTCCCCTAACGAGTCTGCGTCTTGCTCGTGATCATAAAGGGGAAATTTTTTCCCATCCCAGTCCTATCTCGAACCCCAAGCCTGGCTCTCTGTCCCTTCTCATTGCTGGAGGGGAAGGGAGAGAGAGGTGCTGCGTTGTGGTTGGCTGCCAACCAGGCCCAAACCACAACAGGGAGAGTGAGTGAGCAGCTGTGTGGTGTTTGACTGTTGGCCAGGTTGAAACCACAGCTTGGTAAATGGGCTCCTACGACATATGCAAAAAACAAATGTCCATACATTAACAGGCAGATCTCATATGACTGAGTAATCTATTGAACAAACACATGCTGCCTGGAGCTCTCCAGTTTTCTGGTAAGTTGTAAGATCTATCCATCACTAAAGGGCTGAATATGAGCCGTTAGTACAGAAAAACAACAAGCCAGTGCAAGATTTACTGTAACACTGTCTTTTTTCCCAATAAATATAACACAATGTGCGCTATAGTAGCATCAGAGTGACTGAAGACTGACCTACTGTGGTATCTTTGAATTTTGGCTTTTTTCCACACACTGGTGTTAGCACAACACATTGAAAAAGCAAACAAAATTCATGCCTCGCTAGCAGAGTACCCTGTAATTAACTTTGGTAGGTGGAACTACGTGCATGGAACTGATTTATTTTCTGAAGCCTGATTTAAAAGCTTAAGACAAGCCTGTATCTATGACAGTTGTAATTGATTTCACTTGTGACAATTTGCACCTGAAATAATTTGCTGTCCTAACAAAACCTGACTATACAGACTTTCAAAGTTCATGAAACTGTCACTCTTACAAGACTAGTGCATACCTGAACAGACCTGATGTAATTTTTCTCTAGAAATATCAAAAAAGGGAGCAGATAACATGGGGAATGACTTACAGCTAATACTTATATGCAGAATTACTTTTGTAATGAGATTTGTTGGAATGTAATTTAATACCTGCCAAAATAATTAATGTTCATCTTTCTACTGTAATGTCTTTTACAGTTTACTTTCAGCTTAAGGCTTAATTAAAAGATTGAAGAGTTTAAACGGTAATTTCTTTTGCCTGCAAAGATGCCTGCAGACATGGCATACACCAAAGCGCACTATGTATAGTACAGAAGTCCTACCAAGTCAGGTCTTTCAAGAGGGCACAAACATGGAGTCATCTACTGCACAGCATATTGTTGATGACGGATATCACATTTTTAATTAATTCCATATAAAATATTATAGAAGATTGGGCTCCTGATGTGAAAATACCAGCTATATTACAATACTAAGTTTATCAGTAAAGAAGGGTAAGGAACATATTTTGTTCACCTACCTATTATTCTTGGAACTCTGTTGGATCCAAGAGCTTCTTAGACAATGTGGAAAAAAAAGTTGATTAATGATGCCAGTCAATTTTATTCCATTTTCTGCACATACGTATTCCTGTTTGAAATGAAAATGTTCTCCATAAGTTTTCTGTCTATGCCTTTATCAAAGTATCAGGCTTAGCTCTCGTTCCAGTTTTGTATCTCTGCTTTCTGAACCAGAATTTCCTCTCAGTTATATTGATGGTCATTTGGCAACAGGGGCATGAAAAGAACTACCAGGGAAATGTATGCACCTTACGGCCACCAACTATAACAACATTAAAAATAATTAGTATCTGTATTTTTAAAGTCTAAAAAAGCCCATATGTTCAAGAGACTACCTAACTAGCTAAATCTCTATCACCAAATGTGGAGATACTTACCTATACACATATTTGGAGGTGGACTTCCCTCCTCCAAGCGAGAACGCCTTCTCAAGCCCAGACCATTCAAGAAAACAAAGATAAATTCTTAATTCCAAAAGTTAGTGGGAAATCTTGAAAACACATCTTGGTGTCTAGCTCCAACAGAAATCAAATAGGAGATGCCTAAACAAGAACTAGTTATCCAAATGCCTTTGGACTTAAAAGCTATTGATCATTTGGCTGGTATTCAGCAAACAACTGCATAGACTGTTGGCACTTTTACTTTATTCTGTAGAAATGAGGGATTTGTACTTTTCTTGATTGACAGGAACACAAGAAATAAGTGAGACTGAAAAGATTAGAAAAAGCATTGTCCTGGTTTTGAGTGAGTGGTGAGGTTTTTTGGTGGCAGGGGAGGGGGCTATAGGGGCGGCCCCCTGTGAGAAGCTTCTCGAAGCTCCCCCAGCTCCAAGCCAGCTCCACTTCTGTTTGGGAAATTGAGCCAATCATCTGTGCCTCTGTGATAACGTATTTAAGAAGGGACGTGGTGATGAGGAGTGGGACTTGTGAGGAGGAGTTGGGGCAGCTGCGTGAACACCAAGGTCAGTGGAGGAACGGAAGAAGAAAGGAGGGGGGAGGTGTGCTGGAGCAGAGACCCCCCTGTATCCTGTGGTGAGACGGCAGGGCGGCCCCCCCTGCCACCCATGGAGATCTACGGTGGAGCAGACATTGATTTATGGCCTGTGGCTCCTGCTTGTATGATCAAGGTGTCTTTGCCCAAAGAAGGCTGGGGTCTCGTGGGAAAAGGCAGCCCCGCTGCTGTAATTCAGTGCTGGGAGGATTGCAGCATGCGGGGGAGTCCCATGCCGGAGCAGCTCGGGAAGGGCTGCAGCCGTGGGAGAGAATCCAGTCGGAGAAAGTTAGTGACCCACGATGGAGCAGTGTGGGGAACGCTGTGGCCCATGGGAGGAATTCATGTTGGAGAAAGTTTGTGGAGGACTGTCTCCTGTGAGAGGGGGACCACGATGGAGCAGGAGGAACAAGTTTCGGACACTCCCCTCACCGAAGATGAAGGAAGTGGCAGCGCTGACTGCACCCCCCATTCCCTGCCCCTGCGCCACTGGGGGAGGAGGTAGAGATATCGGGAGCAGAACTGAGCCCGGGAAGAAGGGAGGGGTGGGGGGAAGGTGTTCTCAAGATGTGGCAATGCTTCTCACTGTCCTACTCTGTTACGTGTTGTTAGTGTCTGTAATAAATGTATGTTCTTTTTTCTTCCCCTAACGAGTCTGCCTTTTGGTCATGACCATAGTGGGTGATCTGCCCCTCCCGGACCTATCTCGAACCCCAAGCCTGGCTCTCTGTCCCTTCTTATTGCCGGAAGAGAAGGGAGAGAGAGTGGCTGCATGTTGTTTGGCTGCCGACCAGGCTCACACCACGACAAGCATGTAGCATCCCCCCCTTGCTGCATATGATGCCTAAAGAATCTGTACCTCTGTTTGCTTCTGCTGGCAGTTTTAAACAGTTGTTTCTACTTTATTCTGTGAAAAACAGTAGCTTTATTCAAAATACAGCCAATACTGTAGAAGGAAGAGTCCACTGCATCCAAATGTGTGCCAGTGAATTGCAGAGGGTAATCTACTCTTCATCTCTTCTTTCTTTCATATCTTCAACCCTAGAAATTAAACCTTACTCTGTCATATTAAGATACTAGCTAAAGTATCTTAATATAACAGTGTGCAATTTAAATTTAAAGTCATATAGTTCCTCCCTGTGTGTTTCTGAAAAATCAGAATTATGTTCTCCTATGAGAAAACAATGTTTCCTTAACAGGTAGACATCAAAACTAACAGGGAAAATTCTCGTGCTATCATGACAGTGCATGTCTGATAATCCTACTTCACTTGAGCCACATTCTCTGGATTTTCATTTTGATATAGCAATAGTAAATAGCAGTTTCTTTGCAGTGTAAAGTGACTAAATAAAATAACTGACCTCAGGCTAACCTTTGAAGTCTTCAGTTCATCCAAGAACTTAAGCATTTGCCTAAAAATAAACCTTTAAATATGCTAGTTGATCCAGAAACATATGTGAGTTGATGGAGCAACATTTAAGCACTTGTTAAATATTCTGAAAGAACTAGAGCCACAAGCAACACAGCTTGTTGGAAATAATATAGGGTGATGGTCTGCAGAGTAGGCTTACTGAAGGTGATGAAGCTTTAGTTGTAGCAATTAAAATCCATACATGCAGTCTATGTAATCATTTAACATAGACAAGAAAGCCAAAAAAAAGGATCAGTAATCTATTCATCTTATGGTGAACAGACCAAAGTGAACCCCTACACAGGAACCCTCAGAATACTGCAGAAAGAGGCCTTACTTTTAAGTGGAACTTTTAAGCAGAAACAGGCCTTACTTTTTCCTTTCTCTCCTCAAGTTTAATTCAAAATTAAAACAACCGGGAAAATGTCATCCTGACTCTCTGGGAAGTAGCATTAACTATCCAAACAAAACAGGGAAAAAAGAGTGAACAAAGATACCATCAGTCATACAACAATACAATACAACTAAGGCCTCCAGTACATCTTGAGCAGACAAAACCTCCCTTTTGGGGATTTGAGGATTATGAGCATTATCAGCCAGAACAAAAACAAAGTCACTTTTCAAGCTTTGTAAAGAATTTGACGCTCTGACATGTTCAGCTTCACAGTTGTCCCTGCATCAAACACCAGACTACAGGGGACATCTTTATATCCCTTTTCCAACTTACTACAGTCTTTCTCTGGGCCCCAAAAATGCACCTTCATCATCTCCGTTTTGTAAAGGAGCTGCAGCACAGCTGTGAATCCCAGAGTTTACAAGCAGAACCTTTTTCCCTTGGTATTCTTTCATGATTTCTTACTACTACATCCTTCCTGTTCTTTTGCATTTTTCACTCTCCCAAACTTCTATTGCTGCTCTGGCATTTAACCACTGTCATTTTTTGTGCCAGCCCTCTCAGACTCCCGTCTTCCCGAGATGTGCTTCTTTCAGAGGTAGTGTTGTGATCTAAGAGGACAAATCCCATGGACGTGGACTGAGGAACGCTGAGTCAGGCCTTGAATTATGCTGTTGGATACAAAAATGGGTAAACCAAAAAAAAATTTTTAAGTGTCTTTGAAGGAGAGAGAAGGATTCACACATTCCTCTTTCTCTGGTTACTAGCATCAAATGGTTCAAATCACAATGTTCCAAGAGATTTCATCCCAAGATACCAAAGATGCTAAAGGATTTTCTAGTCCAGATTTTCAATTCTGTTGTGTCCAATTTCCAAAGCATTTTATGGTTGTGATAGAACTATGAAGGAAGTCCCCTAGGAGAGGCATTGGACTGTGCTGCTCTGAATTTGCTGTCCCTTAGTAAAATATTAAAAAAAAAAGGCAATAAAATTTTACATGATTTGCACGACTGCTGTCTTGCCCGTTTTTCACCTGCTGCCTCTGTGCAGCAGAGCTCCCAGCCAATTAATGTCAAGTTGTAACAAAGCTAAATCAATGCTAGTGTCACTGTCAAAGAAGTCATTTTTGTGGGGAAAATACTGCCCTACTGATTTACTAGAAAAGTATTAAACAGACTTTTCCACTGCCTGCACATCTGGTCAGGGATCCTAAAGGCCACTGATCCTGCCCAGACACACACACATAAATTTCAGACTGAAAAAGAGCACATCTAATACTTCAGCAGAACAGAAAGCAAAGCAAGTCCATTCTCATTGGTCTTGCTTATGCTGTTCTTCAGCTTTTCTCTACACCCGTTTTTGTGTCCAGTACAGCAACTGACGACCTGTGTGTTGTGAGCTCAGGAAGGAGGAAAGAGGAAGGTACAGTCAAACAAAAACCTGTGCTGAAACAAAATCAGCGAGCACACTGCTGACTCCACTCAGTGATAGTAAATTGATAGACAGAGGGTCATACATCAATGGATGTAATTAAATGTATGTGTGTGTGTGTATTTTCTTTTTATTTGACAACTATATCAATCCTAACGACTGTAATACATAAAACTAATCTGGCCACGTACACTGCATACAGATTAGTAGACACTTCACCCCAGCTCTTTTAAAGAAACCCCTAACAACCATTTAAAAAACTTATGCATCAATACACAGCTATTCATAAAACACAGCCTAATAAATACATAGCATACGTATGCCTGAAATGTGTGTGACATGTCATGCCCACGGGATCCCTGATTGCCTTTATCTTCCCTGCCCTTGGGCCAGTGTTGCCTGTTTCTAGCAGCCCCTTCTACAAGCCTGTATGAGCCAGTTTTGGCCATGATTTCTAATCTACTGGCTTGCTGGCAGCACATTGCAGGAACAACTTGGACCTCATGCTGTGGTTCAGCTGTAACAACATCAGCAAATCGGTTACTTTTAATTTTAAAATTAAATCCTGATAATTTCTGATTTTATTTTCTAGTTTATTAACAGTGTCTCTTAAGCGGCATTCATCAAGTATTTTTACCTGCAGTAAATGCACTCCGATTATTCTTAAGTCTGTGCTTGTTCTTGCTGGCAGTGATGCAGTTTAACAGCAAGATCAACGCACGCTTTGTGCACACCTCCCTCTAGTGGACCCAAAACCCAGTGAAATCAGCAAAATCCAGCAAGGCGTTTTTTCTAGGGAGACACAAATAGTAAAGATAACTAATAAAGAAGGATGGTGACCAGCTGTCTTTATAACATCAACTCAAAGTTACCAAGAAAAGTAATGGAGATCTAGTGAAATGGTAAAAATACAAGAAACAGGAAAAAAAAATCTGTCTTTATAAACGTTTCTTTCATTGCTAAGCAGGGGCCTCTAACAGTATAGTCCTGGCGATTTACTTTGTGAATCCTAGGGACTTGGAAAGAGCAAAATGTGTCATTAATTATGTTCCAAAAAGCTATCCCCCCTTCGGGAAGCCTGCTGTAAATTTTACAGCTGAAGGTTTGAATCCGCTTCGGGGCTGCACGGCGGGGCCAGGGACCACTCCGGTGCCCCAGCAGTGCCCGGGCTGCAAGATGCCCCGCACCTAAACCTGCTTCACCGACCAACACGAGCATTTAAACCGGCGAAACCGCACCAGCGCGGCTCCCCCCGCTGCAAAAAGGGGTCTGGTGTAAAACTGTGGAGCATGACAGCGGCAAAACTGGGGGCGCGGCCGCGCCCGGGGGGGCGGGGGGGGGGGGAGCCCCGCCTTTAGGGGGTCCCACACACCCTCTGCAGGCAGCGCAGCGGGCCCACCAGCGCCCCAGCCTCCGCGATCCCCCCGTTCCTTGGTAGCTCTGCGGCACCCCAGCAACGTCGCCCTGTGCTGCGACATGAGCGCGACATGACGCAGCGGGGGGGAGGGGGGCGCAAACTCAGCTGGCACCAGCCGCTCAGCACCCCTTCAGAAGCCGACGGGCTGCGGAAGGGGGAAGGTCCGCGCCCGTGGGCAGCAGCTCCTGCCCCTCCGCCGTGGTCCCGTCCCCCCTCCACACCGCTTCCCGTGAGACACGGGCGCTGCGAGGGGCCGCCTCCCGCCCTCAACCCTTTAAGCCCCTGCGATAAGGACGCTAAAGCTTCTCTGGGAGAGGGTCAGCCCTCCCGAAGTGCCGCCGCAAGCCGGTAAAGAAGCAGGGGAACGCGGGTGGACCCCACGGGAGCTCCCCCCCGCCCCATCACTGGCTGCCCGCCTCAAAGATGGCCGCCGGGGGCGGGAAACAGGGACCTGGCGGAAGTGGCCGCGGGGCTTCCGCTTCGCCGCTGGCGCGACGCTCTGGGAGCCGGTCTCTACGGGCGCGGCGGACTCCGGTGAGAGGCGTGGCGTGGCGTGGCGTGGCGTGGCGTGGCGTGGCGTGGCGTGGCGTGGCGTGGCGTGGCGTGGCGTGGCGTGGCGTGGCGTGGCGTGGCGTGGCGTGGCGCGGCGCGGCGCGGCGTGGCGGGCCGGGCCCATCCGCCGCCGGTGTGTCCCGTCCCCGCCCTCCAACCGCCCGGTCTCGGTGACGGGCCGCGGGGGGTGGGCAAGCGGCCCCGACACCGCCCCAGCCCCGGGAGAGGGGAGCGAGCGGGGGTGCGGGGGAGGGCCAGACGCCAGCGGGCGGGAGGCCTCGGGGGTGCGGGCGGTGTGAGGGGCGGGCCGGGCCGCCCCGGTGAGGGAGTGGGGCGACGGTGTGTTGTGCGCGGGGTGCGGGGCCTCTCGTGTTCAGTTTCTGGGTTTCCTTCAGGGAGTGCCTGCCCTGCCATGACCAGGTGGGCCCGCCGGCCCGGCGCTCCCGCCGGAAAGGCGCTGGATGCCACCCCCTGGGAGGAGATGGCGGGCGGCCCCCCGCGGCGGGGGGGCCGCTCAGGCGCTGCCCCCCCGAGGCAGGAGCGAGAGAGCAAAAAGAAGAAGAAGAAAAAGGAGTATCTGAACGAGGACGTCAACGGGTTTGCGGCGTACCTGAGGCGGGGAGACGGCGCGGCGCTGGGGGAGGAGGTCGCGGCGGCCTTGAGGAAGGACGAGCGGCGGGAGGGGAGGAGGCTGAAGAGGCGAGAAAAGAAGAAAAACGCCATGGTGAGTTTTGCCCTCGGCCGTGGGCGTTTGCCTATCCCTGACAGCTTGTTTAAAAACTTGGGAAAAGCTCCGTGTGGAAGACGCAGACTCCTTACTCTCTGCCGCTGCTGCCGGGACGTGGTTTGGTGAGGAAGCCGAGTGCTGTACCCGCTGGAAGCGTAGCTTGTGCTGAGTGACATTTCAAGTTAATAAAGCCAACTTGAGTACCTCAACTTTGAAGCAAACAATGCATTTCAGCTTAAGTCCTGGCCTTTTGCACGGCTGTTCAGGTTCAACGCCGTTCTTGCTACCCTTTGATAAATTCCCAGCCCCTCTTGCCTCGTGGGTGAAACTAATTCTGTGCATTTCTGTATCTAATTCATCAGTACAATGATCCTGCTGTTTTGGGGTCTCTTTCTGTAGTGTCTTCTGCTTGAGAACTGGAGTGAGATCTCCAGCAGACTTTAATAAGACTGTGTAAAAGCACTTATCTCAGCACAAGTTTACACATTCAGCATAGGTTTATGATGAATGTAATCTGGGAACATAGTAAAGAGAGTTACTGCTAATTAATCTGAGATGTCTAAATTATTCATGATTAAATTATAGGACAGGTGCAACATTGCTTGTATTTACCTAAGCACTTACTGCAGTAGTACTTAAAGGGCTTGGGGAAACTGTGAACTGTGAACAAGTGTCACTGTTCATCCAGGGTAGTCCGTTGTCAATGAGTGAATGCCCCATATGGTGCATAAAAGGAGAAAAGAACCGCAGTAATATGGTTTAATGTCATAGACCACTAACAGTTATTTTGTGACAGGGTACAGTGTCTAGCTGTTTTTTCCCTGAGGAGAAAATCCCTTGATATGTCTGCCTTCTAAAATGCTAGAAGGCCTTATTATACTAGAATTTTCAGGTCTTTGAGTGCCATTCACAGAATCTTGTCTTTTTATGTTAGAATAACCTCAAATCTCAATAGTAGAGGTATGTATCTGGTAGTTTCCTCAAGATTCCAGCCAAGAGAAATAGTGGTCTAGTAAAAATCTAGGTGATAATCGGATAATTAGGAGTAAGTGAATTCTTTAGTAATGTCACCCCTATAAGTGCTCTGTTTTGCTATGTTAACTGTCAATGAAAATGCATATAACGTAATTTTTATTTTCAAAGGTATGTTTCCACTGTAGAGAACCTGGCCACGGTGTTGCTGATTGCCCTGCAGTACTTGAAAGTCAAGATATGGGTACAGGAATCTGTTACCGGTGCGGATCCACAGAACATGACATCAGCAAATGCAAAGCAAAAATAGATCCAGCAGTTGGTATGCCAGAGAAACTTGTATTTTTTGAGATACTTTGTTCTGATTTTTTTTTGACTACTAAAATGGAAGTTTTGTGTTTTAGTAATTTAACTGTTCGGAGGAGATAGTTTAATATGTTTAAAGGAATATAACATTGTAGCAATGAATCTAACAGTGTAAGAGGCAGTATAATTTTTATAGTATAGTAGTGTAGTAAAATGTTGTTATGGTGTGTTCACAGTTGTCTGTGACTTTACAAAGTTTTTAATACATATCATAAACTGTGATTTTGCAGGGCCATTTCCATATGCAAAATGTTTCATCTGTGGTGAGATGGGTCATCTGTCAAGGTCATGTCCAGATAATCCCAAGGGATTGTATGCCGAAGGTGGGTGTACTAATTTACTAAAACCAAAACACATTTTTTATACTTGTCTGATAGGAACAAAGTCACATGGCAGATGAATGAGGATCTGATTGAAAGGGATTTCAAAATATCTTTTGCTGTTTGTAAAAGCAGATTAATTCTGGGGAATTCAGTGTTAATACTGATTACCAAGGGATTTCTGTTTTAATTGTAAGCTTAGTGTTAAGATGAGATGCAAAGTGTGAGAACTTGCTTGGGCTTGCAATATCAAGAGGCACACAAAAAACCAAAATTGTAATAGGCTGTGTGTATGTCAGTGTGTATTTAAATGCACATATACCAGAGTAAAAATACACTCTCATACTATAGTTTAAGACTTTGGACGGTGTTCACGCAAAACGAGAGTTCTCATTAGAAAGAGGACATCTTCAGTTTAAGTGGCTTTCATGAGAAATGTGATCTAAGTTTGAAGATTTCAATCAGATTCTGCTCTGCCTGATTTCTCTGTTGGCACTAAAAAATAGCATTCTGTCTCCCAGTACAAGCATGAGGTCTGGCAAACTCAAAATGGTGATCTTACAACACAGTTAATTTGGAAGACATACCACTTTACTTTCAATGTTTGGATTATGAGTAGAATTTATATTTCATAGCTGAGTACCTGCAGTTGGATTACGTGCTTCTCAGGAGCTCCTGTTAATTTCAGAAGTTCCTTAGAGTGTGAATGTCAGCAGAATTCATCTTATTTCTCAAAAACAGTGCTTTCCAACAAATCATAAATACTCAGTAGGTGGTAACTGGAATTTGTAGTGTGGTGCTTTACAGAGCAATGTGATCACAAACAGGTCTGTCTGTCTGTCAGAGACACACAGACAGAGGAAGCTGTGGTGTTTGCAGGTTTCCAAAGCTGCCTGCATATCTGCTCCACAATGTTATATCATATCATAAAATAGAATGTTACTGTGCCAAGGAGTGCAGACCTGTCCATAGGGACATTTCCTTATCTTCCTTACAGATTGTCACTACAGATAGAGTGAGATTTTTCAGGACACATATAAGAAAAAAACAGCATAGGAGGGTTGTTTCTAGTTTGAGTGTTTTGGGTTTTTTATTCTTTTTTTCTGAGAGGGGTAACAACTGTTTCCCTTAACAGGTGGCAGCTGCAGACTTTGTGGCTCTGTGGAGCACTTCAGAAAAGACTGTCCAGAAAAACAGAATGCAGGTGAGATGCGGGGGAATGCACAGTTGAGCAATGCTTATTTACAGCTTTGCCTGACTTTGGTTGGGGAAAAAAAGGGTGTGAGAAGAGAATTTGCAAATAGCAAAGGTGACCTTCCTTTGGGAGTGAGTGCTTCTATTAAGGGGCATGTGGAGGAGGCATTAAGTTGCAGTGTAAAACTTGAGCTTTCTGTTAAAAAAAAAAAATTCTAGCGTGTGGGTTTCTGAGGGTAACATGAGCTAATGTGTATTTGTTAGCCAGTATTTATGCTGTTGTTCACAACTTAGCAGCTGTAGAACAAAACTGGTTTCTTCTGATTTCTGTGTGAAGTGGTTGAACTGAATATAATGTCAGTTGGAGGGTGGTGGTACTGGCAGCTTGTAGAAGCTGTGTGTGCAGACAAGTGTTCAAGTCATTCAAGACAGGAGAGAAAGAGGAGACAGAAGATCTGTCTAGCTGGATTCACCAGCTAATAAGCTGCTTGCTTAAATGTTCTTCAGTTTTTTGTGTGAGTGGAAAAATTATGTTATATACAAAGAAAACCCACCAGGTGCTAAGGAAGGCAAAAGCATCAAACAAGGGTTTGAAGAATGATTCTGTTACTGAAGTGGTGACACATTTGTGCATTTTCCTACTTTGTATGGCTTGTAGAACTTTTGGGTTAATAATGTGCTACTTTCATGGAATTTATGTAAGAAATATTTATGGGGACAATAGAGGCCTATACTTTGGCTGTTTTCTGTATCTGATCTTACATATGTGATATTGTTGCATCAAAGACCATATGTAACATTCTAGATGTGTGCTGCTTTGCTAGTTTAGAACAAGTGAGATTAAGTCTTAACTGGTATGAGAGAAGATTGTGATACGAAAAGACTTAAAAATTTCTCCAAACTCATCAGCCATAGCAGATCGTTGGGCAGTGCCTGCTCACATGACTGCAGAGTTGAAAGCCTGTAACATAGCCCATGTTGGATTTCTGCACACCACTTTTATGACAAACAACCTCTGTGTGGTTAACACTTTTTGTAAATCAAAAAGCTGTACAGATGCTGTAGGAGAAAAGAAACATCTGTAGGGAATGGCACTGCTCACATCTGGGCCAGCTGTTATCAGGCTATGGCAGTGTTCAGTTGTTAGTGCAGTCCAATGCAAGTCTTTTTGCTCTCTTGCAGTAGGTCTTTGAATTATATGTGAAGCAGAATTGGAATTTTTTTACCTTTTTTTGAGAAATTTTATGTCCATAATGAAGACTAACAACTGCTGTGTAATTTCTCAAGGGACATCTTACACTGACATTTCAAAACTAGTATTGCTGGTTAAAAATAGTTTAATTAATTGGAACTGTGACACCACTGGTAAGAATCTGTAGTATTCTTTGAAATCAGTTTGCATCGTGAAAAGTACTTTTAGACTACAGGAAGATACCTGATAGCTATCAAAGAAGTTTAGGCACTATAGCTTGTTACTTCTTTAGGTGAAGTTAATTGGTCCATTTTAATATACAAAAGTTAATACAAGTAAACTTTGATTTATCCATGTGATATTCTTGGTGTGATTTGATTTGTTGCTCTCAAAATTAGATTGTCATTCAGAAAAGAACTGTCAGTTGGTTAACAGCATTTTCTCTGGGAAAGAGGTGTGAATTGGTCTAAGTAGCATTTAAACAACTAAAGGATGAGGTTGATTATATGCAGGGGTGTGGGTTGAGAAATACAAATTTTGCTCTGTTGTGCCTCCTCAGGCTTAGATTCTTCATCTGCATAATAAAGTCTTTGCCGTATATCCAGAGATGCTTGACATTCTGAAATTTTCATTGTAGGAGTTATTTGAACTGATGTGAGAGGTGAAGTATTGTCTGCATACTCAGCGAATGTTTCTTTGAACACTCAAAGTAGGAAAAAACATGCAGTAATGATTTCTGAGCTTTGACAATCTGTACGGGGGAAGAAAAGGAGTTTACAAAACACAATTTAAAAAAAAAATGGAAAAAAGATTGTATAAGGAGAGTCAGCTTCAGAGCTAGAACTAAACAGACAGATCATCGGTGAATTAATGACAAGTCCTTGTGGGGCAGATCTTCTCAAATGAGAAGGTTTGATATAACAGTAATGCTTAGACTTCCCATAATCTATTGTCTCTCACTCTTCAGATCAGGTTACAGTTGGGCGATGGGCCATCGGAATGAGCGCAGATTACGAAGAAATTACAGAAGCACCAAAACTGCAAAAACCAAAAGTGAAAGTACCCAAAGTTGTTTCTTTTTGAAGGCTTCTTGGCTCTAAACCACAGTTAGCCTGCACTGCTTCACTCCAGAGTAGTGACTACACAGAGTCGATTGCTGGTTCCAGAAAATCAAGCAGACTGCTGCTGCTGAATTATTTTTTTTTTTGGTCCCCCCTCGTTTTTCCAGTTTGCCTCCCAGACTCACCCAGATGACTGAAGAGCTGGGAACAACATAAATATAGCAAGTGGGTGTTTTATTTTTATACATCTGTGCTGAAATACAGCATTCCCTCTGATTCACAGTCCCTCTCACTGCCAGCCCTCTGGAGAGGAAAGTTGGCTTCTTCCTGTAACAGGGATCTGGTTGCAGTAACCATGCAGGGCATGTGCATTTTATTGTGGGGGTTCATGACCACTAGGTTTCGGAGGTCAGTATTGTCATGAGTGCTGCTTTCGCTTATCAGAGATGAATAGAATCATGCTGATCATAGTAAGAGCATTTTTCTGTTTTTCTGAAAGGGATTGTGGGTATTTTCTGAAGAGCCTTGTTGGGTTCTGGCTTGGTTTTGCCTTCTCCTTTCAGAAAGAATTCTTTTCTTGCTCTGTATATGCTACCTTGATCAGTCCTGTGGCATAGTTATCTGGTAAACCCTATGGCCTGGAGAGCTGGGGGTGCAACACCCATTGCTCATGGAGGTCAGGTGAAATGCGTCCATGCATTAACCTGATGGTTTATGCATGTTGGATTGTTGGAGTATTTATTCACTAGAATAAATAGAATTGTGCCCTTCCTGATACCCATGGTAAAATACATCTGAAAAGAGTTGGAGAGCAAGTGAACTTGCTTGCTTAGTTTCTTCACCTTTTCCAGGGCAAGTGCTCAAAAATCTTCAGTGTTTCTATCCCTTGGCGAGTTGGGCGTAAACTTTGCTTTGTATTACATGTGCCTGCTTAATGACAGATTTATTTATTTTTAAATGGAGACTGCAGCCTGAAAAACTGATAGATACTTTAAAATGTTGGGAAACCGACTCAGAACAGAGTTCCTGCATCCGCTCTCCCAATATTGCGGTGCCTCAGGCTGTGCAGCCAGCGGTGGGAGGCCTTCACCTGCCTCCGACCATCTCGCCCGAGGTGAGCAGGGAGGCGCGATGCTGCCGCGGCAGCCCACCTCCAGCCTGTCCCACGCGCGGGGCTTGCACGGAGCCAGCGCCACGGCGGTTCTGGGTGGGCGCTGTGCAGCGTCCCTGCGTGGCACTGGCCTGCGACACTGGGCGTCGCGGTCCTCGGCTGCCGCTCAGTACTGCCATCAGACACACACGGAGCTCCCCAGACACCTTAAACGTGCCTTCTAAAAATTTCAGCTTGCCTTACGCGGGAATAAACAACAGTCCTCGAGGGAGAGCTACACAGTGGTTAAGCTATTGCGTCTAAAGAATGAATTTACCCTTTCAATGAACGCGTCCTAAGGGTCCAAACATCACCTTGGTGAGAACATAGAAGGAACACCAGAGTGCAACCTTGAGCTCAGGACTGGCTATTGAGATGCTTAGGACCAGCTATGGAAACCACAGGTTTGGGACACACTTTTCTTAGAGCAAAAATGAAATACAGGAATTCAGTTGTTTAGTTGTATTTTATATTTGTACACGTTAATTATTTTTAATAAAATGCTGCTAAAGAATGCAATAGTTAAAGCTCTTATTTTAGGTTTCCTGGGTCTCTGCTTGCACAAACACATTAAGCTGACTAAGATAGGGCATGTATATTCAGTTTATAATAATCAGAGCACACATTTAAATGGGGAAGAGGAGTGGATGTGGGTGAAATCCAGGATTAATTACAGATTTAATTAACTGTTGAATTAAAGCTCAAAGCAGTATCACTTTAATGTGGAGATTTTGCAACACGTTTTTCCCAGCTTAAAAACTTTCTATTATATAAGTGTATTGTTTAAAAAGCATCTGTTTAGGTAATTTGCTGTCTCTAAAAAGTCCTTGGTATTGTAACATGTTCCTTTACCCCTAGGAACTTGAAGCCGTGCACCTTGACTTCCCTGGGGCCACCAATACTTCCCAGATAAGGGGTTGGTGCAGACAGGGTGGTGTGCGAGTTGTGGTTTCAGAGTGCAGCCTCTTCTGAGGAAACGGCTGCTTGGCTCCAGGTGAGATGGGGTCACCCAGTTGTGCTTCTGCAGTCTGAGGCAGGAGCACCCCTTTGACAGACTGCTGAGTTACAGTGTACAACATGTAAGTTGAAGGAAAAGAGAACTCGCTGATGATCCCTGTCCCTTCTGCTTGGCAAAAGGGACTGCTAAAACCAGGTTGACTGAGAGGGCAGCTGTGGCAAAAGAAACCCTGCAAGAAGTAGTGGATTAAACTTTGCTATTGAAATGTTGGAGCACAAGCTTGGTGTGCTAGTGTCCAGCTTGCATACCTCCTGAGCTCAGTCTTCTCTTCAGTGCAGTGATGCAGCCTGCCTTGTCCTGCTGCTCTGGAGGTCGGTGAGCCTGATGGCCATCACTGGGTAAGACAACCTTCAGTTTCATACCTGTTGCTTTGATCCATCTTGTACTAAAAAACCCCACTTGTTGGGCTCTGACACCTGACAACTGCTCTGTTTTCCCCTGAGAAGAAATAATGGACTTCTTCAGACTTCAAAAAAACACAGGGTACAGTCTGTGAAAATTTCAGTCTAAAGGCAGCAGGCTGTTTCCAGGTAATCACACATGCTGGCGTGGGGCTGGGAGCATGTACCCCCACCTCTTGTCCTCTGATTCAGTGACTGCAGAGGAGAACAGGGCACTGGAATGCTTGCACTACACTCTAAAACAGCTGCAGAGGTTGGCAATCTTCAGTAACAACTATTGGACAAAACAACTTGTCAAATGTACCCACTAATCTTTTTAGATGATTTCACTAAGGTAGGTGTAGTTGAAGAAAGCTATTTGGAAAGCAGCTGTGAAAGATGATGCATGTAAAGATGTATTGTACCCACAAATACATTGAAAAGTTAGGCAAATGGAGTTTAAACAAAGTTTGTGCACCAGAAAGCTGAATTTCTTTGTCTTGGAATTTGCATAGAGGTTGGTAAAATACAATCCTTGAGCTCAGCAGAATGCTAGTATTTCAAAAATTGTAAATGATGTTCTCCAGATAGATAGCCTTTGCAGTAGTCCCACTGAGCTCAGTCTGTGTGTGTCTCTAAAGGCAAGTTCTAAACCGTGCTGCACAGGAAGCCACCCAAATAGCTGCTAAGAAACACTTGGTGCAGGCAGTGTTTGGGCTTTTCCTCTCTGATGTGTCATGCATGTGTTCAGAGCTGAACGTTAGGTGTCTCTGTTCACTAAAAATTGGGACCACGGAGACTTACCTGCCCACCCAGAGCTTGTCTGCCATCATCTGCACCCAGCAAGTGTGGGCAGGACTGGGAGAGCTGAGCTCCTGGGCCACAGAGGGGGCCTGGGCTCTTCCCTTACCAGCTGAGCCAGGAGGCGACAAGCAGGGCCTCGGTGGTTTCCTTGCTCGGTGCAGCCATCCTCGCTCCTGAGGCTGAGGGGTTGCACCTTACCCATGTGATAAAAATGACAATCCAAAATCAGGATCTGGATCTATAGCCTCTCCTCCAGAGCCAAAGAGCAGGACCTGCTTTACTTTTTTTTTATCACTAATGCAAATGTATCCCTGTGTTGTATGGTATACAGAGGCCAGCCTGCACTAGACATAGAAGACAGCAGCTGATTTCACCCGTGCTTTGGTTCAAGGCTGTACCCAGGCTAAACTAGGCTTGCTGAGAGGCCAGGTGACTCGTGGTGCTGGTATACCCAGAGGGCTTCACGGACTCCAGTTTGTGTCTCTTCTGCTGCACTTGGTAGACATGCTATATGCAAAATATGCAGCCATGCTGTAGCCTAAAAAATCACTGATGAAAGCTCTGATTTGGTTATAGGTTAAATTGAAGATGTGTTTAAGTGAGAACCGGACCAGACCCCTAGAGCTCTTGCTCTACCAATGATGAGACTGAGGAAGAAAAAATGGCACGGCTACAGTTCACATGCTCTGATTCTCTTAACACCCCCAAATTCATGTTACAGTCGAACTGCTGATGATCATACTGTTTTTTCTGAACAAGGCTCTTTTGAGCAAAAATAAGAGCAGAAAACAAAGTAGATGCAGCACAAAACCTCTGAAACCATTCTCCCTTTTCATCTGCGAGGGAGTGGATCCAAGAGTCCTACTGTTCCACATTTATTCAATGCTAGCAGAACAGTCTTGCATAGAACTTGCCAGCGGGAGGTCTGGCACTTTGTAAGAGGCCAACGGCCCCCATTATCATTACAAAGCAGTCTTCCCAGAACAACATCTGACGCCTTTCCAGAGATACCCTAATAAAATTTATGATGTAACCTCAGAAACAATAATTTCTTGGAATTCACAGATAAACTACAAGAATTAAACTACAAGTATTAGCAACCTATAACTTACATGGGGTGTAATCAAGTTATATATAATGGGTGTGCAGGAACTTGGACAACCAGGTCAGTGCACTGGATAAGCTACTTAATAGCCCTACTTTTCTGCAAATTACACAGGGTGGTATTTACTGATTCAAAACTAGCTGGATGCCATTACATTCAATATAACATTAAAATAGTGAGATAGTCCCATAATCTACAGTTCTGCTGGACCAAGTTCTGCATCCATTTATAAGACATTCATTAATGCAATCAAGAGTAGGATCTGTCCCTTAGTCTTTTTAAAATTAAAAATTTAATTTTGAGCCTAAGGCCTAATCTTAATTTAATAGAAAATACTTGTACTAGATATTTTCAGGCTCAAGCCCAATACTGGCTGCATGAGCCACAGTAACTAACCTCTAGAAAAATGATCAACACTCATGAATTTAAACCAGTACTGCTTGATAATCTTTAGACGTCTCTTCAAAAATCCGTTTTAACTTCAATGCTTGCTGCCTTTCAGCTCCAAGAACTTTATACATTCCAAAGCAGTGTCTTCAATGGATTTTGACGAGCCAGTAAGATTTGCAGCTAAGTATGGCATAACACCTGACGTCATTTGATTGAAGTAACGCACCTGTTTAAACAAAAATAAATGAAGCAAAAAAGCCTATGGATTGCAACAGTTAGCCAATTTTTTGCAGAGCCTAGACAAGTATCAAAGTTTTTATGGATGCAAATAGAAACACATAGTGCTTCTGAAACTGAAGGCAATAATTAGCAATAAGAGCATGCCTTTTTTACAGTACTTTAGTGATTTCAGTGTCCTCACTACTGCCAGATCCTCAAGCGTCTGTACGTAAATGTACACAGCAGTGCAGCCAGAAACACTGTGTGTAACCTGTTAAATATATCTACTTTATGAACAAAGCTCTTGCCTGTGCCTGAAAAAAGAATCCCAGCCACTGAATGTTGCTGAATGTTTTCAGAAATATATTTTCTTAAATGAAAAATTTATAGCCTTCCCATGGAAAAGAACAAAAGAGAAACATTGTAATTGGTCCAGGAATGGGATTCAGATTGAATAATTTCTGACATATGAAAGCTGAAGTTAAGCGTTTAATCTGAACTAATTCCTTGGACTTCATCTGTAGTCAGTGAAGAGAGTTGGACAGCACCAGAGACCGGTTTAATGCAAACCTTCAAGAAGTGTATTTTAGGGTTGATTGAATGAATGACTCTCTGGAGGTGCCTGGCCATCTCCAGTGCTTAGTTTAGATTTCATTCCCAACATTCAGATTGGCCAAAGTTGGGCAAGGCAGATTCTACTTTGTGGAATAAAGAATGTCTTAATAACCACACTGAACTCTGGGCAAACTGACTCATTTTTTCTGTTGTATTGCTGTTACTGTTCTAGGCTGTCAGCTCAAATGAGATTATATGCACATTTACTACTACAGGAAAGGAGACACAGCTGAGGTCTGCA